GCTTATTTTAATATGAACTTGACAAAAGTTTCAAATTTATGCTTCATGAAGTAAACCCAGGCTTTCCGAGAGAAGTCGTCTATGAAACTGACAAAGTACTGAGATCCACTCTTTGCCAGCTCTCTGACAGGCCCTCAAACATTAGAATGCACATAATCAAGAACATCCTTCGTCTTGTGTTGACTTGTCTTGAATTGTACCCTGCACTGTTTCTTGAGGGCACATTACTTGCAAAAATCTAGCTTGCATGATTTGAAACCCTTCAACAAATTTTTCTTATGAAGCTCTAGCATTCCCCGGGCACTTATATGTCCCAAACGTATATGCCATAGGAGTGCATCATCTATCTCAGACTCTGCCGTAGCAACTCCCTCACTAGGGGTGTCTATGGGCCGGGTTACCCACGGGTCCCATTACTCTGCCCAAAAAAAATAGTTTTGAAACCGGATATGCCCAATAGTTGGTCCGCCCAAGCTCGACCCCAATATCTTTAAAAAGAGAGCTTGAGTTTGCTCTCAAACCCATTACCTGATCAGAAGGTGGCCAAAAAATCCCGTTAAAACTCGAACCAAGTCGCCGTCCGCCCACCATTCCTTTGAAAAAAAGTTATATTTTTGGACCATTAAATTTGAAATTTTGAAGCAAGTCTCTCAATGTCAGAATTTGAAGTTTTAAAAATTTAGATACTATAAATAATGTTATTATTTTTCTTTTTTATGTATTATAGATATAAGTTTTAAAGGGTAGAGTAATACAAATGATAGATAGATAAGTGAGTAGGTGTCAACCTAGTTGGGATGTATTCATTCTATTGGATGTAGTTTATCCCCTAATTAAAAATTAAATTATTTATTATTTTATTTTTATTCATTTTGACTCTATTTTTGATTCAAAATTATAATTTACATAAATGTTGAGTTACAAAAATATTCATTATTTTTAAATGAAGTTGTATATAAAAAAGTCCACTTAGTAGGCTCGCTAGTTGGGTTGCGGGTAACCTACTCCTACTCGAAGTCCGGCCCGGCCTGCCCGATAACTCACTTGGGTAAGGGGTTTGTGTGCTTCGACAACTGACACATTATCTTCGGACCTGATGTACCTCTCCATATATTGAATATGATCCATTTATTATAATAAATTGGAATTGAACTAGATGAAAGCCTCTAATTTAGCACCAAACTGGTCTAAACAACACCAAATCGATACTAAATTTGGTTGAACCACTAATTCAGAATTGATCCAGAACGAAAACCACAAATTAACGCCAAATTGGCCTAAAACCAACTGAAACAATGCTAAACCAGGCTGAAAACTTAAAATTTACGGTGATAATTAGACATCGGTGACGCAAACACAGATTCAAGCACCCTACAACAGCCATTGAACAATTGATAAAGATAATGACAATAGGAATAATACCACATAGATTGAGTCCAGTGACGACGACAATTGGTTAACATAGAGATTACTACAGCTCTAATGTGTGTTGGGCAGACCCAACCATTTGGCAATTGAGGCACTTGCATAGGTTCAAGTTTACTTACCGAAATATCTGGCTCTAGTACTAAGTTGAAACTTGAACTATTGAATGTTAGGATTAAGGAAAAGAAACATAAGAATAATGGAAGAAAAATAGTATGAAATAATATTGTGTGTAGGGTGTTTGTTATCATCATCCTATCACCTATTTGTATTATATGGATATTGAAGGCAATTACAATATTAAAAAAGTAGAATATAGTAGGAAACCAATAAAGGAAAATGATATAATAACAAAGTAACATAATAAGAAAGTAACACTCTAAGACTCACTCAAACTGGAGTATAGTGATAAAAATGTCAATCTTAGAACAAAGGCTCCTATTGGTAGATGATCCCAATGTTTTGGTTAGAAAATCTCTAAGTTGACTCCAATATCTCTACGTAGTCAATACGGATAATAAAACCAAGCTCGGGGTGACTGTTTCAAACCATTTTGGGATTTTTGTAATCAAAACACTACCATGATACTCCTCCTGAGTAACAAATTCATGTGGTTGCTTCATGTGAAGTTTAAGACACCTTTTTTGTTTTCTAGACTAGCAATCAATGACCACACCAAAACACGACAACATAGAGGAAAATAACAGGCGACAACAAAGGACAAACACAACATCACCATCATCAACGATAGTGACAAACGGACACAACCAACATCACCACATTGAGTCACAAACAAAAAAATAAAATTGCAATAATAAAAAACTAGGTAAACCAACTAGAACTAGAGTTGAATCAGTGAAAAAGGGGTTGATTAGATGCTAAAAACCACAAAACCAATACCGACCTAGGATGAAAACTCCAAATACCACCGGCCAAGGTTGAAAATATTACATCGGAACTGAACCAGGATGAACATCATTAAACTAGCACCAACTGTGTCGAAAACTACTAAACCAACACTACTGGGTTGAGTACGCTAAATCAGAATTAAAATAAGATTAAAACCAGTAAATTGACACCAAATTTGTCCAAAATCTGTTGAACCGACACTAAACTAGGTTGAAAACAATGAACCTGAATTAAACTGGGATCAATACCACTAAACCAACACCAAATTGGCTAAAAAACCACTAAATCAACACTAAACTAGACTGAAAACATTGTACTAGGATGAAAGTCGTTAAACCAACACCAAATTGGTTCGAAGAAAGCCAAACCGACACTAATTTGGCTAAGAACACTAAACTGGGACTAAAAAAGACCAATTGAAATGATACTAAACTGTTGGGTATATAGAAGCTAATTAGGTCACTAAAATTACAAGAACAAGACTCAAACAAAGAAAAAACCAGTGGCTATTTCAGCACAAAGTCGGGCATGAATAAGTGACAAAAAAAAATATGTTGAAACTCCCTCATTCGTTGCCACGATTTACCACCGACTTGGATGGTAGTTGCCTTTGACCATTTTTTTAAAAAACTAGAAGTAAATAGTTTTTTTCTATCATTTTTTGAAACTATTGTAGGGGAGGGGATTAGTGAAGTTCGAACACGCGACTTAAAGGTCCAATAGGGGGTTGCGGAGCCATTAGGCCATCACTGATCTTCACCTAATAGTAACTAAGGACATAACTTTTAAATATTAAAAAATACACCCAAAACTTAAACTACCAAAATACCCAATTAAATTGGGTTTACAAAACTAGCATAAACTGGGTTGAAAACTCAGAATCTACGACGATAATTTGACATTGACAACAAGAGCACAAATTCAACACCCCACAACAATTGATGATCACAAAAATCAATGAACAATTGACAAAGATATTGGTGACCGGAAAGTTGCAACATTTACTGAGTCCGAAGATGACAACTGGTGAACACAAAGATTAAAACAACTTTAATGTGTGCTAGGCCGGCCCAACCACTAAGCAACTAAAGCGCTCGCCTAGGGTCATGCCCCACTCACCCAAGTATCTTTCTATGATACCACGTTAAAACTTGAATAATTGTATGTTGAGATTGAAGAAAAGAAATAGAAGAAGAGTGGAATAAAAAGAGTATGAAACAATATTGTGTGTAAGGGTGTTTGTTGCCAACATCCTAACACCTATTTATATTAGATTGATATAGTAGATTAATATTGAAGACAATTACAATAGGAAAATCACATAATGGGAAAATAAAACAATTGGAAAGTGACATAATAACAAAGTAACATAATAGGAAAGTAATAGTCTAACATTATGCTAATAGTTAGCAAAATTCACTAAACCCTTAATGACCCACAGTCTGGGTACATCGATCCTAAATAAAGTGGGCTCGCGATCTAGATCACCTACATGTACGATCTTAAATTGTAATACGAACCTTACGATTTGTTTTGGAATATGTAGTACAAATATAAAATATATATTAATTGACTACGTATATATAGATTTATAATTATATATTATTTTAGATAACAAAAAATGGAGGGCAAATGTAAAATAAATGATAACTGACTTTGGTGTTTATGGATTTTTTATGATATGTAATGTTGTATAGTAGTGAAAATGATTTAAATAAGAATTCCAAAAAGAATTGCGACCCAAAACACTATACCAACTAAGTCTACTCCCATCGTACCGTGTACATAAGAAAGTGTTGTGTTGTGTACCCATATTATGTATAAAAGTGACCAACGATTTAGGTAACATTGATTATGCTTACTATAATTGAAGTTTATGTTTTTTTGTGAAAAAAAAAAGCAGTCTATGTTTGGTACACTTATTGATTGGGCTATCTTCCCCCTCTTCTCTTGTTTCTCTACTCACAATTGGGAAGTTTGTGAAGTTCTGCATAACACCTAGTAGACAGCACTGTCAGTTAGAAGTGGCTTTCTTACATGTAGAATTTCACATGGTTGACTACTTGATTTCGCACAACTTTCTCTTCTTTCCATCATCATTTTATCTTTGAAAATATCTTCTTGAAAATTTTAGATTGCAAGCCGACAGCATTTTCGTCACTTGATTAAACCTTTGGCTATATAAGCATAATTTATGTCACTTTCTAAGAAAGATGTTTCTCTTGATTAAGCTTACATAACTTGCTCAGTCGACAGTTTTTTTTGGCCCCCCCTTTTCTTCTCTCCCAACAAAGAAAATCCTTTCAATGATAAATGGGGTTGCTTCTTGTCACCAATTTATTCTTCCATGATAAGGCCCCTTGTTAATGTCAAAACAATTTCAGAAGTGTTTTGGCTTTTAAGTTTGGTACAAGTGTTAAGTAACTGCTTTCCTCTCATCTCACCATTGCCATATAGTAGATAATTCTGTTATATACTTGTAATTTATGATGTTGTGTTGGAATTTTCTGAAATTGTGTTTCTTCCATTCTGCTTGAGTCTGTGTATTCTCAGCTATATTCTCTCAACAATGCATAGCTCTCAACTCTGGCTATCCTTTGTTTTATTATGGTTAGGCAGTAAAAAGGCCTTGGGATGAAGATCCACTTGCTATGAGTGAAGAAGTAATGAAGAATGTATCATTAGAAGTTGTCAGGGAAAAGTTGTTGGAATATGTACATCAGGTAATTTGATTCTTTAATTTATCTACTGTAAGGGCATGCTGTTGATTAGGGAAATGCCTTAGTTACTATAAGATTATGTGGTCATATCAAAAGAGTTTGAATCTCGACTGTTAACTTTCTTATATCAGGAAATCCCATATGGTGTTGAACATCGTTTGACAGATTGGAAGGAGTTACGTGATGGTTCTCTTAGGATTGAGCAGCATCTCATCACTCCCAAGATGAGCCAGCGCAAGATTCTTGTGGGGAAGAATGGTTCTAAGATAGGGTAATGTCCTATGACGAATTACTTTCCATCTGTGTCATTTTTTTCTATTGCTATAGCTAGGGGGCAACTTGGTTTATGATAATCTGGTTCAGCATCAACTTAAAACTAGCAACCTTGGTTCTCAAAATAATAAAAACCAACGGAGCTTGAAACAAACTAACATATATTTATGCTGGGTTAATTTGTTTGGTTCTTCTGGTAAATTTTCCCATTTGAATGAATGTTTATAGTGATCATGGGGTTGGTTGATTCAATTTTATTGTCTTATTGCTTGATTTACGTGTTGATCTTTTAAACTCCCAATTTTGCACATCTATTGAGGTGAGGCCTCTGAATTTATAAGAAAGACTTGGCTATAGTTTTTTGGTCATCATACCCTTTAGTCTGGTTTGGGGTTCCAAAAAACTCTTCAATTGGAACTTAAAATGCAGTAAATTTGAGAACTTGACAAACCAAGACCTGGGTCGATGGTTTAGATACTTGGTTAAGGGATTCATCTTCATTGATAGCATCTAAATTTTACCTAATCTGTATATAGCAAGCTAAGAGAAACCTATCTGTACATGTAAACATGTTCAGCCTTTGTGGTCTGGTGTTAATTTTTAACATCCATCTGTTACTTTCTCATTGATTCTAAAAAATGTGGTGCGGCAATTGAGAAGTTATACATTTGTGTCTGGCTTTGAATTTCCTTTCCTGTGTGAATAAATGTCATCCACTTTCCTATTTCTTTTGGATTCAGAAACGTTTGTGCTTTATAATACAGGAGAATAGGTGTTGAAGCTAACGAAGAGCTAAGGTCCATATTTAAGAGGAATGTCCATCTCATCCTCCAGGTTAGACTTAAATGATGCAATTAGTAGATGAATCATGGCGGGGATAGCGCCTTTTTCTTTCTTCTGCCATCCCAGCCAATTGGGTATATATGGAGAGGCTGGTCAGTTGAATCAGTACCGTTCTTAGCCTTTCAAAGGGCACATGGAGCTGAGACACTTTGCTTCAACGTTCATTTTCCTTTTATGAGGAATTCTGGAGCTCAGCCACTACGCGACAATTGTTCATTTGCTTTTTGTTCACTTAGATTTTTGGAGAGGAGAAAGCATGGTTGGCGCTAATGTTTACTTTCTGATTGCGTGTATACAGTTACAGATTATATATATAAATGTGTATGAAGACGAGTTTGGAAGCCCGGCAGAGTGACTGTTTCAATGTGCTGATTAAAAAAAGATTCAGAATATTGCCAATGTATATCCAAATGGTTGAATACTGGAGACTGTGGCGGCCGGTCATGATTAGTGGTCAAGATTGATGATGTGGCGATGAGTGATATTTTGTTCCAAAATAAACTTATGCCTAAACTAGGACGATGACAAACAAGACAAACTAGCCAAGTTATATTGGTACGAGGCTTTGCGAGGCATTGGCAGTTTTTCAAGCTTTTTACCCTTGACAACTACCCAATTGGTTCAAAGGAATTCGAAAAATACAACGAAATGTCTTATCTCTCATCTTAACCCCAATTATTTTGGGAAAGTATCTTTAATTATTTTTGAAAGTATTTCATCTGCAATGCACTCATTGGATCTGTGCTTGATGTCTGATTGCGGAATCAAAGAATTTCATCGACTATGATGTTAGAGGTAATATTCGACTCAACACGACTTGAATTCGACACGAATTTAATGAAACAGCCTTGATTATAATTGATATGAACTCAAAAATGACGCGACACACGAATACGAAATATAAACGGGTTGTATTCGAGTTTACTTTGTCAACTATCATATTGATATGATCAATCCGTTTATTTAATTGTGTTGACACTAACCTAACAATGACTCATTAACGACATGAACACAACCTGATAATTTTTTATCCAAAAATGATATGCTCAACCTGATTAAATATAATATAAAAAGAAAATATGATTTCAATTCAAGAATATGGTGACTATTATTCCCTTGTGGGGTAGAATAAATCTATTTTAAGTCTAGCAGTTTTAAAATCATGATAACTTTGAAAGACTTAGTTAAGAATGAACACTTCTTCTGTCTTCTCATTTATATGGTAACACGAACAATATGAAATTAACACGATTAACATGTTTAATTAGTATTATAGAAATAAAATGTTATTTATTTGCAACTGTTTATTAATCACTGACATAATTATTATATAAAAAAGATATTTTTACTCATTATTATTATTATGTTTATTAAGTTAATTTTTAGTTTATAGAAAAAGTACGAGCACGAATTCAATTAAGTAAAAATAGAATATTAGAGTTAAATTTTTAACTCAAAGTTTATATGGGTCAATACAAATACGAACATGTATATGAACACGAACACAACACGAAAATAAATAAGTCAACTCAACACGACACGATTAATTAAATGAATTAGGTTATGACTGATTAATATTCGACACAAACTCATATAACCCGACTCAATTTGTGCCCCCTATATGATGTACAAATCAAAGATGATTTTGAAGATTGGATATCACCTATCAAATTTCCGCATCAGTACATTCTAAGGGTTGGTAGGCCCATATTAGTGAAAAATTTTGAGTTAGTATAATATATCAATTTTTTTTGGCACAAGTACAAATCTTGTGAGTCATTAAGGACATATCATTGAAATATAAGAGGTATGTTGTACACAATTGACAATTTGTATATTTTTAATAACAAGAATACTTTTGTGACGCCTAATTTTGGAGGGTCCTATTTAATCTGTTGATCACTTATCAATCCGTAGAATACCCGTGAATATCGTGTAACTCGACATCATACCATTACGCCCTATTTACCGAGATCGATAACTTAACAAAATTCAGACAGAGTCTCCTTTATACATGAAGCTCTACCTAAAACACAACTTGTACAATCATATAACATTGATCACACTGGGTTCATTCATCCATATTCAGTCGCATAGTATCAGATATCATCATAATCATTATCTCTACGTATATTCATTAATAAAAGAATAAATGTCCCAAAAGAGTCTTATATACATACATTTTTAATATAAAACAAATTTTTTGTTTACAAAAATTATATAAGACTAAAAGTAAATATATACAAGGGACTACAACATCAAAATAATTGCTTTTAGTCCTACTTTGTTGTCAAAACGAGCCTATAGGAGGGCCTTCAACAGGAAGCCCGTGCAATACCTGAAAAATATTCTCATAAAGGGTGAGGTAACACTCAATAGTGTAACTCCTATAGAGAATACCTTCCAACCCAAATGTATATAAAATGTCATATGCAACAATAATTTCATGCATTCATTCAAATATATCTACAATGAATAAATGTCATAAATCATGTCATGATATGAGATGAGACTCACGCATGCAATAGCAACACTAAGTCCCATCTCGGGCTCCTACAACACATGCCATATCATGCATATGTATCCAAACATTCTAAGTCCCACACTATTGGTGTTTATGTATACTAAATGACTAATTAATTCATTCTCCGTGTCTTTGTAAGATGATAATTTATGATATTTCACAAAAGGGAAATCACGCCATCAACGAATTTTTAGGATATCCCACTTGCGGTTTCGTTTTCGTTGTTACACTTATTTGGAATTTTACTGTCGAAAAGTGTATAAACCAAGTAATCACATCTTGTACCTAAGGAATAATCTAGCCCTTCTTACTACACTCCGACATGTTTATCCATTTAATTTTTCGTGTGACTCAATCGGACCTTGGTGCAACTTTTTCAAGCCCGCGGTCAACCCACCTATGTAGTGATTGATTTCATACCATACACCTACCACCATCCATGTTAATGACAATGAATATAGTGTAACTTGTGCATATGCAATGCAATATGTAATTGCCTTTAATACCATTCACAATGACAATTATGTGATGAGTCTAATATAATGACATTTCCAACATCATCCTAAGCATGTTATATAAAATAATCAACTCAACAAATACACTTCAATACACCACACTAATCATATGCTAAATGATCATTTAACATACATATTATCTCATAGTCCCGCAACAAGCTAATAATTCTATCAAACTTGATATGCATTAAAACATCAAATCATGCTTATATACAATTAACATCAAATCATGCTTATATACAATTAACATGCTTTAAACCACTAATATGAACTTACATTAAGATAATCATAATAGGATTTCACTAATTAAAAGATTATCTATGAATCTTATATTTGAAGCACTAGTTACATAGGTCAAGAATTAACATGTGATATACACCCTTAGCCCACCCATTTCATATGTCATCTTTTAGGTTGAAATTACATCTAAATAGGAGAAATCCCGCCTCTGGTAGCATGAGCCTACTTAGTAGAATTCCAAAGAAAACTCGAATCTAGCTTCCCCAAACTTTGATTTAATCCTAGACCAAAACTCTGATTCTCGAAAGATACCGTAATTTGACAAGGTTGGTATCCCCAAGTAGCCCTTGCCGTTGTGAATAACTTTAATATTTGATTTGAGTTGGATTGTCACCCGAATTTTGCTAGATTGCAACAAGAAGATTCAATATTTGGCTTTTCTTTTTCTTTTTCTCTTTCTCCCTCTCTCTCACCTGATCCTTTGGTGTCAAGAATTGGTGGAAGACCAAAAGACTTCCATTTTATAAACCTTTGAATGCTTTACCCACATCATCAGCTACCATGTTAGCAAATCTAGACATAAAAAATGGGTTGGTTGTTTCCAATTCTAACGCATCTTAACCTTGGTTTAAAATGAATCAAGTGGGTCTCGCTCATTTACCCTGTGTGGGCAAATAGTGCTCAATGAATTGACTATTTAATTTTCGCCCACCAGAATATCCCAGTCTGTGTTCCCGGAGGGAATGAAAGATCTCTCCATCCACTACGAGGAGGCGGATGAGTTACATGGATTATTATATCATTAAAATTATGAATTATATCATACCCAAATCTTAATTTCAACTGAACTGGGTTGTTTAATCTTTCTTCATAAAGAGTTGTTGTTGTTTTTTTTTTGTGGATATGCATAATCAATATGAAATTGATTATGTATACGCAGAGTTCAAGTTATTCACTTAGTTAGAATCCTTCGTCTTCTCCAACAATATTGGGTGGAAGTGGAACTGTTTGTCTTAGCAAAATAAATTGTTGGGCTCCTACTGTAAACCATGGTTAGGTTGTGTTTGAATTGAAGTACCCACCCCCATTTTTAACAATAATTTTTGCTAACTTGGCAGCTAGGAAATGTCTGCTTGTAAACCTCTTGTTTACTCGTAAATATTGAATGCAATAGTGATAACATGTCGCCATTAATGACATGGTATCACCAATTAATAATAAAATTCAAAATGGATAAGATAAACTCTACTTGATCTTACATAGAGGAAGAATGAAGACTTATTTGTTTAAATGATAGGTTAATTATAAATTTTTATGGGATCTATTTATTTATTTATTTTAATATTATTAGTTGGTAATACCACATCATCTTACTATGTGGTATCACCATTGTAATGAATATTATATTGAATCAAACGGTGATACCATGTTTGCGTTGATGACATGTTATTACTAACTAATAATAAAACTCCAAGTGGGTAAGGTGAAACCCACTTGGACTTACACGAAGAAATGATGGAGAGTTATTTGTTTACATGACAAGTTAGTTATTAATTTTTGTGGGGTCTATTTCCTTACTTGTTTTAATATTATTGGACGGTTATACCGCATCACATTGTCATGTGATATCACCGTTGTGTTGAATATTTTCTCCTTGTTTATAGATACACTGTAAAATTTTTTATCTCTTTAAATATTATATTTAAATTTCTGTCTCATCTCTCTTTTATATTTTACTAGCAATGCACCACTTGTGTTGCACACGCGAAATTTTTTATTGAAAGATTTGATAAAGTACATAAAAAAAGTCTAATTATATATTTAAATTAGATATTATCTCATATTTATTGTACTTAAATTATTTATATTTTCTTCACAACTATAAACATCCAATTGACTAATTTTTTGTGTTCTTTCCTTCGATCTACCAAGTAGTAAGGGTTATAGGATTTTATTTTCTTGATTATTTTTCTTTTTGTCTTTCTTGTTTTTACTTGCCTCAATACTTTTTTACCAATTTATTTTGAGTGTGAATGAAGAGAAAAAATAAATATATCAGTTTTTGGCCATTAGAGATGATGTTATATCAATAAAATTATCGATGTATATTAATATTTGGGTTTTGGGATAATGTTGATTTTATATATCATGTTAAGTATAACATAACCATTCAAAAGTTTTACAAAGATAGAGAAATTTATATGATACGTTAGATATTAGTTTTTTATTTGAATATAAAAGGATATAATCATAATTTATATATTTAAATATCAAAGGACATGTTAGCATTTATAGTTTTTTATAAAGGTAAAATAGTAAATCAAAAATTTTTCATGTTAAGATACGTTTATTAGTAGTATAGATTTAAATTTCTCTCT